GATACCACCTCACACCAGTCAGAATGCCTGTGATCAAAAAGACAATTACAAGTGTTGGCGAGTTTGTGGAGAAAAGAGAACACTTGTGCATTGTTGGTGGGAATGCATATTGGTGCCATCACTATAGAAAACACTGTGGAGTTTCCTCAAAAAACAAAACAAAACAAAAAAAACTACCATCTGATCCAGCAGTTCAACTTCTGGGTATTTATGCGAAGAAAATGAAATCACTACCTCAAAAAGCTATCTGTATCCCCATGTTCACTGTAACATTATTTACAATAGCCAAGATATGAAAACAACTTAAGGCCGTTGATGGATGAACAGATAAAATGTAATAATACATATAGTTATAAATATCAATATAAATAGAGAATGGGATATTATTCACTCATAAAAAAGGAAATGCTGCCATTTGCAACAACATGGATGTACCTTGAGATCGTTATGCTAAGTGAAGTAAGTCAAATACTGTATGATCTCCCTTATATCCGGAATCTTACAAAACAAAACAAACAAACTCATACATAGAACAAATCGGTGGTTGTCAGAGGATGGCGGGGAATGAAGGAGTGGGTGAAATGGGTGAAGTTGGTCAAAAGATACGAAGTTCCAGTTATAAATACCTCCTGGGCATGTCATCTACTGCATGGTGACTGTAGTTGGTAATACTGTACTATGTTGTTGAAAGTGCTAAGGGAGGGGTGCCTGGGTGGCTCAGTCAGCTACGGGTCTGATTCAATTTTGCCTCAGATCATGATCCCAGGGTTGTGAGATCGAGCCCTATGTCAGGCTCCATGCTGCGTCTGGAGCCTGCTTAAGATTCTCTCTCCCTCTCCTCCTGTCCCCCCACTTTAACAATCAATTACTAATGGAGTAGATCTTAAAAGTTCTAGTCATAAGAAATTGTGAGGTGATGGATGTTAACTTATTAGGGTAAACATTTTTCATGGATAGATAGATATAGATTTGTAATATTATGTTGTATACCTAAAATGAATACAATGTTATATGTCAAATATCTCTCCATTTAAGAAAAATTTAAATTCCAGGGATGCCTGGGTGGCTCAGTTGGTTAAGCATCTGCCTTTGCCTCAGGTCATGATCCCAGGGTCCTGGGATCAAGTCCCCATTGGGTGTATTTTGAAATGTTTCCTGTTTAGTGTTAGGAATTAAGACATGTTCAGATTCTTCTCAAAATCTAATGTAAAAAATGTCACAAGCAACTTTGGAAACTACTTTTCTCATGAAACAATATTGCAATAGATTTTCATACCTTTTGTAAACAAATCACATTAATAAAATGAAAATAGGTTTTTAATCAAAATAAATGCAGGAATGAGAGGCACCTGGGTGACTCAGTCATTTGAGCACCTCACTCTTGGTTTCAGCTCAGGTCATGATCTGGTTGTGAGGTCGAGCCCTGCATTGGGCTCCATGCTCAGCATGGAGTCTACTTGAGATTCTCTCCCTCCCCCCCTCACCCCTGCTCATTCTCTCTCTCTCTCTCTCTCAAGTAAATAAATAAATAATAAAATCTTTTTAAAGATGTAGGGATGAAATGTGAACCATCTAATATTTTGCACCTATGCAGGGAAGACTGAGATTCGCTGGCAGATCTCATCTTTTCTGGAGGGAAAAACTTGTCCTGAGCTATGTTGTCTCCTAAGAGAGTAAGCTCCCAGAGTAGGGGCTCCACAAAGCCGGGGTTCTGAAGTCTGGGCACAGGAATCAGAATACACAGGTTTTAAGATGTTTAAAAAGATTAATGATAGTCTGGATATGAAAACATTTTTCTTTTTTTTGAGATCTTATTTATTTGTCAGAGAGAGAGAAAGAGAGCATGTGCAAGAAGGGGGAGCAGCAGGCAGAAGGAGAGGGAAAAGCAGGTTCCCAGCTGAGCAGAGAGCCTGATGCAGGACTTGATCCCAGGACCCTGAGATCATGGCCTGAGCTGAAGGCAGATGCTGACCCAACTGAGCCACCCAGTGCCCCTGAAAATGTTTTTCATGGTGAGTTCAGTAAAGTTTAAAAAGACTATGGGTATCCGCTTTTCATTTCTGATGCTTTCAGTGAGTTAAAAGAAAACATCTAGAAAGCCATTTTTTAAAAAACGTGTGTAATGAATAAAACTGCATCTCGAGTATGGGCTGCATTACGGAAAGCGTCGCACTGTTTTTCTAACCGGCTTCTAGTCTGTCTGTCTTCTCTCTGCGGTAACCGGTATCCAGCTCCCCCGGTGATGCATGCAGGATGGTGTCTGAGAGCCCTACTCAGTCTTCACATTTGTAGAGAGTTTGAATTTTCAAGCCCCAAACTCAGTGTGTAGGAAGCATGTGTAGATGTCTTTCTGTAATTAAATGATTTCCATACTTCATTTCCAGCTCACCTTCTACCGTATGGTAGAATAATTCATCTAGCTAATTCCAGCTAAATTTAGTCTCCTCACATTTCCTCTTGGTCAGTCCAGACATCAACCAAGTCAGTTCTTCACCAGCTCCTTCTTGGGGCCTAGGGAGAACTGACTGCTCTCAAATTCTCTAGCCCTTTCTTCCCGCCACCCCCTACAGGGTTCCTGTTCCGTCTTTTGGCACAAGGAACTCCTCTGAGGCTCCAGGTTTCGTGATGGGAAGCAGAGAATCTCTTCTGTTCTCAGACCTCCAGACTGTGCGGAGATTCTATTGTCCTGTCCCTTATTTCTTTTTTCTTTCTCTCTCTGTTTTTTTTTTTTTAAGATTTTATTTATTTGACAGAGAGAGAACAAGTAGGCAGAGCGGCAGGCAGAGGGAGAAGGAGAAGCAGGCTCCCCGCTGATCCCAGGACCCTGGGATCAAGACCTGAGCTGAAGGCAGAGGCTTAACTGACTGAGCCACCCAGGCGCCCATCCTGTCCCTTAATTCTGTCCTTAGAACCCACTGGGAAGTGAGCCCCTTAGACATCTCGCCAGCATTTCCCTCATTCCCACCCAGCCTCTTCCTCTCCCTCCCCAGTTAGGAAGGGTCTGTAATATATGAAGAGGAAAGGGGGTTGATGTTGTGGGAGAAAGGTAAGCTAATTTTGGAATCATAGACATTCTGAGATCTGTGTCTACTGCAGGTTTTGGCATTTTAGCACTACAAGGACAATTTTCCCTGGAGTAGTTACCCTAATCAGGTAACAGTATACAGGGGGGGATTCTCCCTTCCCCCCGTATCACAGCAGGGAGTAGCCCATCAGTTAATTCTTAACAGTGTCACTCACAACCCTCATGTTCATGGGGAAGGGTCAACCATTGGTCCCTGTTCCAGAAAGGCTCAAGCACAAATGGAAGTGGTCTGGGGGTGTTAAATATGTGCAATTTACATTAATCCAGCTGACAGGGTCCAAGCAAATCTTAAAACTAGCTTTGCTTGGGGGGCTCCTTGCTAGTGCAGTTGGTTAAGCATCCAGCTTTGGGTTTGGCTCAGGTCATGACCTTGGGGTACTGGGATTGAGCCCCACGTCGGGCTCTGCACTCAACGTGGAATCTGCTTGAGATTCTCTCTCCCTCTCCTGCCCTTCCCACTGGTGCATGCACTCTCTCTCAAATAAATAAATCTTTAAAAAAAGGGGCACCTGGGGGGCTCAGTAGGTTAAAGCCTCTGCCTTTGGCTCGGGTCATGATCCTAGGGTCCTGGGATCGAGCCCTGCGTCGGGCTCTCTGATCAGTGGGGAGCCTGCTTCCCCCTCTCTCTCTGCCTGCCTCTCTGCCTACTTGTGATCTCTCTCTGTCAAATAAATTTTTCTGTCAAATAAATTTTCTGGGCGCCTGGGTGGCTCAGTGGGTTAAGCCGCTGCCTTCGGCTCAGGTCATGATCTCAGGGTCCTGGGATCGAGTCCCGCATCGGGCTTTCTGCTCAGCAGGGAGCCTGCTTCCCTCTCTCTCTCTCTCTGCCTGCCTCTCCATCTACTTGTGATCTCTCTCTGTCAAATAAATAAAATCTTAAAAATAAATAAATAAATAAATAAATAAATTTTCTTCCCATTCACATGTCCCCATTTTGGTGTTTTTGGTCTTTTTCTCTTTAATCTTCTCTCTCTCTCTCTCTCTCTCTCTCTCTCTCTCTCTCTCAGCTTCTGCACTAAAGCGACCTCAGACTCGTAGGCCAAGAAGGCAGAGCTCCTGCCATAAGGGGCTGTCCTCAGAAGGAATTCTTGGGGAGAGGTTCAAACAGACAAGGGCATAAAACAAAGTGCTGACACATCCCTGTCATCTTGATCTTCTTATTGCAGTTTAGAATCAGTGGTTTTTTGTTTTTGTTTTTTTCTTCTATTCGTTAGGACTGCAGTATTTTTGTAGGGTCCAGTCTTGGTTTGTGCTCTCGAGTTGCCCAAGTGAATGAACATTTCTCACGACTCAGCGGCTCAGCCTCTACTTCCCAAGCCAGGCACCCGTGTCCCTCATTCCCTAGGACCCAGAAGTTCTTGTTTTCATTTCCTATTTTCTCTGGATCTTACTTCTTTGCTCTCTGTTTGCCAGGTCAACTCAGAGTCTCATAAAGCAATGTTGTTGAACTGGAAGGGATTGGGGATGGGAGAACAGGCAAGTCCACTAGCGGCGAGTTCCATAAAGAATGTGCTGCAGGAGGTGCTGCTTCTGAAATTCAGCGGCTCCTGGAGTTGAGGAGAAGGCCAAATATGTAGCCAACTCTGTTGGCGTTTGGAAAACTTGAGACCCTTGATCTTGTAACCTTGGAAGCAGGACTGGGATCCAGTAAAACTGAGGTCTAATGCTGGTATACTTCTCCAGAGTCAGCAGGAGAAAAGAAACAACTTGCCAAGTCATATATTTTAACCCTTAAACAGAACAGATATTAAGAGGATATGATATTACGATATTAAAATATTAAGAGGATACTCAAAGCATAATCAAGCTAGAGTTAAACGGGGTTACTGCTTAAATCAGTGCTTCCCAAACTTTAATATGCACCCCATCCCTTGGGGCTCATGTTAGGGTGCAAATTCGAACATAGTAGGTCTGGGGGCGGGGGTAGGGCTGGACTTCCACATTGGTGATCCGTTCCTGGTTCAGGGATCACACGTTGGGTAGCAAGAGCTCGAGGCAGGTGGGAGAGAAGGACGCATCCTCAACTGAAGCTAAGAGGGGCTCCATACCCAAGCACTTAGAGCTAATAGTGAACTCCCCACTCTGCTCTCTTCCCTAAGCCCGGTCTACCAGCTGCCCTTGTGGTCACCTTTCCTGTCCTATGACAGACGTTTCCTTCCCTTCCAGAGCTGCCAATGCTTTTTCAGTTACAAGAAGGGCAAAGCAAGGAGAAAGCAAGTCTGGCTCACTCATTGGAAGGATACTCGGCAGTTAACAGAATTTGAAGAGCTGACCCGCCGGTCTTGGGAGAGATGGACACCAAGGCGGTTCAGGGGCCTGAGCAGCCAGAGCAGCAGGCCCTTCCCGGCACATCCCATTAGATGCCTGAATTCTGTCTCCTCAAGGTACAAGTTTGGGCCAGGTGTTTTTACCTTCAAAGTTCTCAGCACATGCCAGTTAAATTTGTGTCTGCTGTCCCTTTCTTTGTCCCTTTTAAGACTATCCTTGACCATTTTAACTTGTATTTACATGTATGCAAATGGTGTATGTGTGTCTCTTGTGTGTCTGTCCGGGAGCAAAGGAGACGTTATTGCTATAATATGATGTCTCCCCAAATTATTGAAAAATCCCCTGTATATCAAACTTAGGACTTTTAAAATACATGATCTTACATTGTTTGGATTACATATGTCTTGGATATATAACTAAAATGTTCTCTGTGAGCAAGGACCATCTTTTATATAAAATAAACAAGGCTTTTTGTCTGATTTAAAAAACACATTGTTTATTTTCAAAAGGCCTTTTGAGACATTCTTTCTTTGTAATCATAGGGGTGGTATCTCTGAAAACATCCCAAGAGAGGAATGTAAGATTGGGTGATAAAACAACAAATAAGAGAATGGATTTTCCTCTTCTATGTACTATGTGGCTTTGGTCAATTACTTTTTTTCTGAAGTTCCTGCAGCTGAAAGTTAAACAAGCTCCTTTCTCATATTTTTGTCTTAATGATTAGATAAAATGTATAAAAAGTGTGTTTGAACTGCTTTAAAAATTTAGCTATTTCTAGCATCATAACTGTTACGGAATTTGAGACTATGAGAACAATACGGAACTTGAAGGCAGGGGGAACTATGAAAGCACTTAATTATATTCACTAAAATATAATGATGGCGACAGAACAAGGAAAGACACACCAAGGATGTTTTATATCTCTTAAATGAGAAATGGTGAGTATGGTTCTATACATTTCCATTTCCCAACTTTTGTTCACCAACCGCTTTTCATGACTTCACTGCTTCCAGGTTTTAAAGAAATCTTTGCACATTTGTTTTGCTTTGTTGAAGCTAATATGCCCACTATAAGACATTCATTTCTTTTCTTTCTTTTTTTTTTTTTAAGATTTTACTTATTTATTTGACAGAGAGAGAGATCACAAGCAGGCAGAGGCAGGCAGAGAGAGAGAGGGGAGCAGGCTCCCTGCTGAGCAGAGCCCGATGTGGGGCTTGATCCCAGGACCTTGAGATCATGACCCGAGTCAAATGCAGAGGCTTAAGCCACTGAGCCACCCAGGTGCCCCAAGACATTTGTTTCTTGAGTCTGGTTCTCTTGCCAGATACTTAAAGCATTTTTTTTTTTTTAAATGATTGTAAGAGATTGCAGCTTCCCATCGTCTAGGTTCTGTCCCTAGGTTCTGCTCTTTTCCCGGAGGCAGAATAACTTGGATGGTTAAAGTGGAAAAGGCTTGGGTAATAACGTGCTGTTCTGCTCCCAGCTCCACTCGAACTCCCTCTTCAAGGCCCAGGGGCCTCCACCCCTAATCGTAGCCCTACTGGGGTTATCCTGGTGCCAGGGGCTCCCCAGTTCTCCTCACCTACACAACAACCTTAATGCACTTCTAAGGTGTGTGTTATTCTGTTATCCATGCCAAGAATTTATTTTATTTTATTTCTGCCTGCCAGCTCATTTTCCTTTTGCCTGCTTCTCCTCCTCCTCTTCTCCTCCTTCTCTGCCTTAAAGTAACATTCCCTTTTCTCAAATAATCACAACAGGAATGCGCAGCCGCCCCTGAGAGCTGGAACTGACGTTCTCAGATTGCCAACATGACATCTGGACAGAAATTCACATTTATTAGGATATCGTGTGGGGATAACTCAAGCAGTCAGAAAGAGGTTCCTCTCTCTCTCTCTCTCTCTCTCTCTCTTTTTTTTTTTTTTGCATCCCCCAAGCCCAGGTACTCAATTTAAAAATCTTTAATAAAATTGAATCCTGTGCTCATTGGAGGAGAGGAACAGAATATGACAGAGAAACAGGAACTGAAAGAAGTCAAGAATCTGAAAGGAAATAAATCAATGAAAAGGGCTTTTATCTTGTGGTCCTTTCTGCTGCATTCATCTAAAGAAACCGACTCTGATAGTACCAAGCACAGAGGGAATAAATACGGCAAACATTCTTTTTGGGGGTGATTGTGCCTTCCTTGGCGATCTACATTTTATTGAGGATGTTGCTACTTAAGCATTTCGAGTTGACTTTTTCACGGGAGACGGCCGTTCCCTTGCCTTCTTAGGAACAGGATTCAAGTCCTGCTGATTGGCGGGACTTCTCTTGGCCACTACGATTTCATCTACACTCACGAGCTGGAGAACCACATCAGCCACCGCTCGAAGTCCTTGGGCTTTGGCTATTAGGGTGTCCCACACCTCTCCCTGCGCCACGTTTATTATCCCCTCAGCCCCCACGCCTACCAGGAAGTTCCCAGCTTGGTGGGCGCAGCTCAGCTCTGCCATGACCTCTGAGACCAGCAAGCCTGCGTTCTCGGCCAAGGTCTCCGGAAGAGACCGAAGGGCCTGTGCGAATGCTAGGAAGGCGGGGCCGCTAGGCCCTTCCAGTCGGCTTCCTTTCTCTGAGAGTATTTTTGCCAGAGCCATCTCGGTGGCCCCCGCTCCCGGCAGCAGCCTGGGGTCCTGGCACAGCTGGGAGTAGGCGTCGATGCCGTGGTACGCAGCCTGCTCCGCGCTCTTTAGCCCCTCCGCTGTGGGCCCCCTGAGGACCAAGGTGAGGGCAGGGGTACCTGAAGATTCCCATTCGAACACCACAGCCAGACCTTCCCCCAGCTCCTGCTTGTACACCCTCTGGCACTTTCCCGGCTGCGGGGGAGGAAGAAGGTGGGGCATCAAAGGCGTGCCCAGCCCTCGGCTCAAGTAAACCACATCCCTGTGGGCCCTGGCCTGAATCACCATGATGCCGTACTTGTCAGCCTGTGCCAGCGTCTTCTCATCGATGTCCCCCCAAACCACCGCCACATTAATACATGCTTTTGCCAGCTGGGCTACTTGCTTGTCTATCAACTGTTCATTTCCTTTCCTGAATTTAGTGAGGTCCTCGGGACTAGAGAGACGAGCCGTCGCCGGAGCCTGGGGGCTGGCAGGACCAAAGGTGCAGACAAAGAGGGCCACCCTGGCGCCGCTCAGCACCGTGGTCACCTGGCCGCAGGGGCTCGCGCTCAAGGCCAGCCCCGGGAGCAGGCACGAGTCCTCCAGCCTCCCCCCTCGCAGGGTGCACACCCCCACGCGCTCGCGGTGGAAGCTGCCGTCCAGCTCCTTGATGGCCCAGCACGCGTGGGCCACCAGCTTGGTCAAGGAGTCCATCTGGGGCGCGGCGTGGGTGTTCATCACTGAATAGAGGGCCCAAAAGGGGTCTTCCAAGGGCCCCAGGGAGCGTATGGACAGGGAGGGCAGCAGGGCCAGGGTCTCGGCGGTGGCCGCGGCGTAGGCCTGGCGCAGCTGGGAGCGGGGCAGGCCGGCGCGCAGCAGGTGCTCGGCCTGCCGGAGCAGGGCTTCCGCCAGCAGAACCACGAAGGCCGCGCCGTCGCCGGGGCCCTCCGCCTGCGCGTGGGCCGCTTCGCGCAGGAGCCGCGCCGCCGGGTGCTCCAGCTCCAGGGCCCGGAGGATGGCCGCGGCGTAGCCCGTGAACACCGTGCTTCCTCCGGCGGTGACCAGGAGCTTCTGCCGCCCGTGGGGGCCGTAGCAAGGCCGGATGACCCTGGCCAGGGTCTGCGCCGCGGGCACGCTGCCGAGCAGGTGCCTCTCCGGCGCTCCCGGGCTCCTCGCGCGCCGCCGCGGCCCGGCCGCCAGGCGCTCGGGCAGCTGCGGTGGCGCCGAGGTGGCTCTGCCGGCCATCGCCTGCCGAGTGCCGGAGCCCGCCCCGCCCGCCCGCCGAGGCGCTGCAGGAGCCGGGGGAGGGGTCGCCCGGGCCGCGGGTCTCGGACCGACGCTTCTTGCGGGGGGTCAGTGGAGAAAGGAGCCGAATGCCCCCCCCGCCCCAGCCGGGCCCTGGAGAAGTGGGCGCTCCAGGATCTGCTGAGAGCCCAGCCCTCCACCACTCCCCAGACTGATCTGCAAGGAACGGGGCTTTGGGGCCTCTGAGGCTCCGGGGCTGAGATGGACATGACCGTGATGAAGTCACAGAACGGCCCCTGGAAACAGGGGGCAGAGAATGAGGTCACAGAAGGAGGCTTGGAGTAGAGGGTGGGGGCGCGCGAGCAGGCAGAAGTCGGGCCAGGTCAAATGGCAGATGAGGGACACATGCGTGCGCCGGGCCCCAGAGTGTCATTTCAACCTGGGACACCGTGGAGAGGAAAGCAAGTGAAAATCCCACCCGCCTGAAATTCCTGATGAAGCTGTGGCTCCTGCCCTGTGGGTTGTCGTTTTTGCGTGGGGAAGCGGGGTTTTGTTTTACTTCCTCGTGAAGGGCCAGGTACTACCAGCTCGGTTGTTATCTGTCCGCCCTGGCGGCTTTGGCCACCTTCGCCGCCGGTGCTGGTGCTGCCCACCAGGTTCTTTCCGGTGTTTATCGGCCTGTCTTTCGGGTTGCAGGTGTGTGATGCTCCTCCTTCCAGGGACAACGATGTCACCGAGCTGGCAAACGCAGGTCAAGACAAGGGCGGGAAAGATGCTGACGGCCTACAGAAAAAATGAACAGAAATGTTCGCAGCTCAGTGCAAGTCACTAGCCTCCCAGTGCTGGGAAAGGCAGAAAACCACAGGGAATGAATTTAGGCCCCTCAAGTCTTATCCTCAATCCCCAGAAATTCGGTTCTTTCCTTCCGGTAGCCCTCCTTCTAGCCCTCCTTCCCTTGCTCCCTCTCTCTCTCCTTTCCTCAAATAGAGCCTAGTGGGGTAACCATGGCTCCTTTTTTAGTGTAATAAATCTTTATTGAGCACCTACTGTGTTCAACGGAATGAGGACTACAAAAGAACAGGAACATGGACACCAGGAAGGGGAAGAGATTCCACCACAGGAATACCACTTCTGTAGGCATGGGGCAGAGCACCAGCTGGAAGGGACTAAGATTATTAAGAGTGTGGGCGGGGTGCGGGGAGCGTGCCTGGGTGGCTCATTTGGTTAAGTGTCTGCCTTCAACTCAGGTCATGATCCCAGGGTCTTGGGATGGAGCCCCGCATCGGGCTCCCTGCTCAGCGGGGAGCCTGCTTCTCCCTCTCCTGCTTCCCCTGCTTGTGTTCTCCCTCTCTCTCTCTCTCTCTGTATGTGTGTGTCTCTCCCTGTCAAATAAATAAAATCTTAAAAAAAAAAAAAAGCAGGGGAAAGAGAGCATTACCATTCGTTTTTGTTTGGAAAAACCCTTTTTACTTTGTTTAATAGCAGCTGTCCCCAAGGGGGAGAAATGAAAAAGAGCTCTGAGGCTGATTATACCAGTCAGGAGCCATGATTGTATGGTGGGCATTGTTTTAATATTTCCACAGAGAAGATGATAGCAAGAAAGAAAAATGAAAAAAAAAAAATTTGTGAGACTGAAATATAATTAAGGCTAAAATGGAGATAATTTTGGAGAAAAAAACCTTTTTCTTTGAAAAACAACTTGATTGCTTTTGTAAAAATAATAGCTATTCATTATAAAATTTAAAAAAAAATACAAAGAAAGCCAGTGTCATTTGGCATTCCAGCTCAGAGATGGTAACTGTTGGCATTTTGGTGAACATTATCACCTTGCACATATATTCACTCATAGACCGTTAAGGGTTTCTAGTTTTCCGTAAGTGGACTGTATGATACATTTTATGTAATTTATTGTTATCATTTCCCCTTCAACATTCTATTGAAGGGAAGAAATGTTTCTAAGGAGATGTTATGCTGTCTGAAGACCGTGGACAACTCTTCTGACCTCTTTTGATTTTGGAGACTCCTTTAGGAAGAGGTATGAGCCTCCATACCCAGGCTTCTGGAAGCTAGTAACCCTGAGAAGAGTATCATATAATAAATGTTGGGGATAGAGGCGAAGATGAGGAGTGGGGTTTCTTTATAGAAATGTAACAGCTGACACAAAATATAGCAAAGTATGCATGTTTACATTGTTATAAAGATACAATTTCTTTTTAAAAAGTAAACACTCCTGGTGGCTGTATGGGGAGGGGAATAGACACTCCTGTAAGGCATTGTCTTAGCTCTTTCTGTTAGACTTCACCTGTTTTCCCACTTATTTCACTTACTCCACAACTATTTATTGAGCTGCTGCTAAATTATAGAGATCAAAGATGAGTAAGGCAGACAAGGGCGGCTGTCTCTACGAGGGCGTAGGGTGAGATACATTCCAGGCTTTGAGAGCTGTGATGGGGAAAGCATGGGTGTTGTGGAAGCATGGGGGCCTGGGGGGACACAGAGTCATTGTCATGGGGAGAGCCGTGGTCAGGGATAGAAGTCACATCTAAAGAAGCAGAGACTGGCCACGTGAGATGGGAAGGGAGTTGGGACAGCCCAGTGAAGTTTGTGGTCCACCAAAGGTAGTTCTGAAGGCTGGAGCTCACTGTGAGGAGGAAGGGGCACAGGGAGAGGGGATGGACACTTTGGCTGGGGAGTGGCAGGCTTAGGAGGCTATGCCAAGGAATTTAGACTTCAACATGAAGAGAGATGGGTGGGACTCTTGAGTTACATTTTCATCGTAAAGGTACATGTTTTTATGTTGTGTCTTTGTCCATTTTGCCTCACAGCCCAGGGAAAGTGAGGATCTGCTCTTTGTCTTTGTTCTTGAAAACAGGCTCCAAACCGTACATTTTGGATCGAAATTTTTTGACCTACCTTTATATAGATCAAACTGACCAAGGAAATATTAAATCACAATTTTACTTACTACTGTGTGAACACTGTCACTGTTAAATTTGCTTGAATTTTATTTATCCCACAGATAAATTGATTAGGTGTAAAATAAATGTGAATATCTTGTGCCCAGAAAACTTTGCATGCAGTTAACCCATTAAATACACTTTTTAAAAAAATAATATACATTTCAATCTGCTAAGATGGGTAGGCACCAAGATAAGCTGTTTGGTAGCTAAATTGGGTTGAATGTTGTCCCCCCAACATGCACATCCTTCCCCAAACCTCAGAATGTGACCTTATTTGGAAATAAGATTGTTGCAGATGCACTTAATTAAGATGAGGTCATACTGTAGTAGGGTGCATTCTTATTCCAATAGGATTAGTGTTCATACAAGAAGCGGAGAGACACATACACAGAGAACATCATGTGAGGGCACAGAGATGTGGAGGGAAGATGGCCTTGGAAATGATGCCTCTCCCGAGGTCACCAGGGACTGTGGGCGACCACTAGAAGCTGAGAGGCATAGACCAGATTCTTCCTTAGAGCCTACCACAAGGAACCAGTCCTTCCAACACCTTGATTTGGGACATCTGGCTACCAGAACTGTGAATGGGTAAACTTCTGTTGTTTTAAGCCCCCAGCTTCTGGTAGTTCTGGGAAACTAATGCAGTAGTAGTCTTGTATCATCAATAAAGGAGAGGAACTTACGAGTGTGTGTGTGTTGGGGGGGGGGTGGCGCTGGGGACGCTGGGGTAGGGTTTCTAGTTTATAACACTGGCTGGCACAATGTTTTTATATCCCTCTTCTAAACATAGTTGTCTGCTGACGTCTCCACCTCTGCCCTTGCCCCCATATGCCCAGATGCATTTCTATTAAAACTATGGTCTTGTACACAATGGATGTAAATATTTAATCTTTCTATTTGTATGTTTTCCCATGTTTATTTTTCAGTTGCCTGCTTGCCCTTTTTGTGTTTATCTTGCTAAGTAGTGCCAGGCTTAAAGCATAGACCCCTGGAGGGCAAGATTCCTGTCTATATGAAGTGTGCTGCCCAACACCTACTTTGCCCCACAATCATACACAAATTATTATTTCTTTAAGATTTTATTTATTTGACAGACAAATCACAAGTGCGGAGAGGTAGGCAGAGAGAGAGTGGGGGGGAAGCAGACTCCCCGCTGTGCAGAGAGCCCGATGCGGGGCTCCATTCTAGGACCCTGAGACCATGGCCTGAGCCGAAGGCAGAGGCTTTAACCCACTGAGCCACCCAAGTGTCCCTGCACAAACTATTTTTGAAGGTGAATGTTCTGTTTAATTATTTCTCAGTTTCTTTAATTTTTCTGTCCAGCAGGTACATGGTATGCATTACTGAAATAACTCATGTAAAGCAATAAGAATTTTCAAAGCTAAAAACACACTGTGGACCAAATATGAACTAAAGTTAAATGACTTTCTTTTGAATTTTTATTTTTTTAAGCAATCGCTACACATAACATGGGGCTCAAACTCACAACCCTGAGATCAAGAGTTACATGCTCTACTGACTGGGTGAGCCACATGCCCTGGAATTTTTAAAACCTTTTTTCATTGAAAAAGGACAAAAATTGACAGCCTATGACTGCAACTTTTTAAAGTGTAACTTTAACAGTAAAAATATGAACATAAAGATCAGAAGATCTAGAATTTAAGTTTTCAGTGGTCCTCTACAACTGTAAGTTTGGTTCCCAACAAACGCTAAGGAGTTTAAGACTTTATCGGGGAAAAAAAAGAGAGAGGGAGAGTGAGAGAGACAATTTATACTGAACCTATGGGAGAGACTGATAGGTATTTTACATTCACTAAAACAAAGCAAAACAAACTCTAAATAAAGGCCCTATCAATGACATTTATAGGCCTCCAATTAGTAAGAATGGGTACTGTACTGTGAATTTTTATTTATCATCAGTTTTTTGCTAGATACTTTGAGATTCTTATTTTGCTTAGTTCCATGAGACGTTGCTTTTTCTTTGGTGTAGATGATAATCCTCACCCCCCAAACCACATTCTAAATATTTAATACGTATTTATTATACTGCATGTGCTTTGAAAGATTCAAACATTGTAGAAAAATGTAATATAGAAAGTGAAAGTCCCTTGTGATCCAGACCT